TTCCCTCAATTTCTAAAGGAAATCCGTTTTGTACTTGGGGACTCACCATCGCTAAGAGGGACTGCAGTTCAATCTCCAGGGTTTGAAGAGTACGTTTCAATTCCGTGAGTTCATTCCTAGCGGAGGTGGTAGCGCCAGCGTCGTCGGAAATCTGCTGCTGCAGCGAAGCGCTCTGCAACGTCAGGGGCTGGTGTCAGGGGACTTCGGCGTCCGTACCCAGCGCGGGTAAGCGCGCCCCGCGTGGCTTTACCTTCTCCTGGAACCAGGCCTCCGCATCCTGGCGGTTCTGCTCAGCCAGGGCCTCGTACTCGGCTCGCATGTTGCCCAGCAGCACCGTGAGGTCCACCCCGGGGGCGGCGTTCATCTCCACGTTCACGTTGCCTCCCGCGGCGCACTGCAGAGCCTGCATTTCCTGGGAGAGATTCGTTTAATCAGATCAGGATTTGACTATTTTTTAATGAGCTGGACAGACAGGATCTGTATGGATAGAAGCATTTTGTAAGTTTTCTTTTGAGAGGGACAAATAGACACATTTCAAGAAATAATCTAAACCATAGGGAGAAACTGCCATGCTTCTTGGTATTAAGATATTTATCATTTGAAATTAATTTTTAATTTGGGAGGGAGGCAGACTGAAAGTCAAGGAGGTACAGTGCCTACCTCCTCGTGATTCTTCTTGAGGTATGCCAGCTCCTCGGTGAGAGTTTCCAGCTGGACCTCAAGGTCAGTTCTGCACAAGGTCAGCTCATCCAGCACTCGGCGCAAGCCATTGATGTCTGCCTCCACGCTCTGGTGAAGGGCCAGTTCGTTCTCAAACCTTACAGACATATTTGAAAAGTTAATTCTTAGTCATTAGACATTAGTCACATCACTTTTTAGATTTTCATGAAACCCAAACTAAGATTTGTGATAAAACTGTTAAAATAACATGTAAATTTTCATTTGGATCATCCACAGTACTATATATATATATATTTATTTATTTGAAGGAAGAGAATGAAAATAGTCAAAATCCTCTTCCCTGTGACTTTTTCATTTGTGTTAGCCCCCCAATTTCCCAAGTGATATGTGCTATTCCGCTAGCCACTCCAGTTATGTATAAGCTTCAAAACAAATAAACAAAAGAAGAAAGCAGACCTCACAAAACCTAAAAAAGAGGAGGTGTTTCTTAAGAGAACTTTTTGTGTGTTTCTCTTTAGCTCTACTTACTTCAGTCTGAAGTCATCAGCAGTTAGTCTCGCGTTATCATTTTGCAGGATAACATTGGCATTACTTGTAGTTGCAGCAATTATCTGATAAATGGAGAGTTAAGAGTGAGGAAATTTTTTTAAAAAATCAAATTTCTTTGAATAAGGTTCCCTATGAAACTATGGTAGTATTTATGGCAATATTAATGGCACCTGTATCTAATAATAAGGTAATTGTTTTGCATATGGGAAATTGAAGTATGTTCTCTTTTATTCCCCATTCTATCCTAAAAAACAAAACAAAACAAAACAAAAAACTCTTTCCATGGGAAAGATTATAAATACAAAGTTGGAGACACTCACTGGCCAGATTGTGATATTTTAATATTACTAAAAACATACATGCATACCTAAAACCAGATGATGGTTGGGCCATGTTCAAAGATCAGAATTTTAATAGAAATTATTTTAATCTTGATAAGGAACTACCAAAATTTAGAAGCCGAGCTCAAAGTCCTGTCGTGACAGCTTACACATCTGTGTGTATATGTGTGGCTAATTACTCTCATGAATTTTAACACCCATAACATTATGTTTCTTACCTGGTTCCTAAGGTCATCGATTATTGGAAAGTATCTGCTGTAATCATGATCAAGACCTCGGCAAGAACCAGGTCCAAATTTCTCATACCACCCCTTGATCTTCTGTTCCAGGTCAGCGTTGGCCTCCTCTAGTGCTCGAACATTCTCCAGGTAGGAGGCCAGGCGGTCATTGAGGTTCTGCATGGTCACCTTCTCATTGCCAGAGAGGAGGCCGTTTTCGTTCCTGGTGAAGGTAGCACAAGAAGCACTCCCCCCGCCCAGCACTCCACCATAGCCTCCTGCCGCTGAGCTGCCCCCAAAGGCACAAGAGAAGCCACTTCCAATGCCTGGCACACCGCATGCATTTCCGGCCCCAAAGCTGGCTTCCCCACCAGAGAGCCTCACGGAGCCTGCACCCCCACAGGAGCCCAGCCGTCTGGATGAGGAAGAAAAGCGCACAGACATGATGCCCACACTGGAGCGTTGCTCTAATGGCGAGACTGTCCTACTCAGTTCAGTTTGCTTTATATACACATCATCAGGGTGTTTCTTGATGAACTTTGCTACTCATAGCAAAATGGTGTTTGCCAGCTCATTGTGAATTATCCATAATTGGGTGATGTTTTTTAATGAACGTCTTTACCTGTGTCCATTTCCGTAGGTGGATAGTTAGTACCTTGAGGTTATTTGTTATCTCTGGAATGGGGCAGGGTGGAGTATTATCAAGGTTATTAAAGGGATACTTTTCCAATTTAGTGTGAGTAACCCTTCCTGTCTTCCATGTTTTAGGAATATAAAATTCCTATATGAATAAAACAGTGTGATAGACCAATTTCTCTTTCCCTTCCCAAACCAACAACATTGCATTTTCTCCAGAAGGCAAAGCATCGTAGTCATGGGTTTCTATCAGATATGTTGAAAATAATGTCAAGACCATGGACCCATGAGAGGGAGAAGGCCAGGTCCTCAGAGAAAACTGAGGAACTAAATGGGATCTTCTTTGGAGACAGAAAGTCTTTCTTGATCCTTATCCCTCCTTTCGTCTCCACTGGCTTTCTGTCTAAGCTCCGTTGCTAATCAGGTTGAGTAAGGGGATTGGGTAACCTGTCTGTGCCTCAGCTTCCCCAGCTGTAAAAGAGGGATTATATGTTAGCTTCTATAGTCCCTTCTCACCTCTACATTTCTCATTTTGCTACATTTCTTCCTTTCACTCTTTCTGGAATACTTTTCTGCATATTCTTTCTTCCTCTTCACTTCCTACTGTTTCCTGATTTTGCTCCCCACTACTTTAGAGAGTGATTAAGATCACTGATCACTGCACATAGCTGATCCACTCATTGTTCCTTATGGTGATTCTCCTGCAGCCTCTTGGTTGATTGAGCTTCAGTTGCTTTCTGAGATTCTTCTATATCTCTGGTCGCTTCCATTCATAACTTCTGAGTCCTACATTTTGTCATTCCTTCCGGTTTGTGGTTGGCGTGTAGGACTCTTCTTGAGGCAGCTCTTACCTCTGTGGCTGGCCATTCTTTATATTGCCACTCCCCTTACCCATCTCTTTGCCTCTCTTCATCTTATTCTTTCCACCTGTTTTTTTTCTTCTTAAAGTTAAAAATTATTTGAGATCTTGCATTTACCAAGAATGATTAACATCACTTCAGTTCTATAGACTGAAAATGAAGTTGCTAAAAATATAAAATTTCAAGACCTAATAAATGAGCTTGCAAAGAAAGCCAGAAAAAATTTCCAATCGAAAAGAAATTACCTTATTAAGTATGACAACTTGTTGTATTACCTAAGCTTATGACATCAAAGTATTATTTTTTTTGCAGTTTGTAAGTTTATGTTGTTAGATATGTGTCACCATTATCTTTATCTCAGTTTTTTTTTTAACCTTTATTTTATTTATTTATTTTATGTGGTGCTGCGGATTGAACTCAGGACCTCACACATGCTAGGTGAGCGCTCTACTGCTGAGCCACAACCCCAGCCCATTATCTCAGGTTTTAAGTAATAAAATATTTTTAAAAGAAAAACATCCTGGCCTTTTAGGATTCCCAAAGTTACATTTCAAATAAAATACACATATGAAGAAATAAACCACATACAATTAATAAGAGCCAACACTACTGCCTGAAGACACAAAAGACCAACAAGGACAAAATTACAAGATGCTATATACAAAACAGTGTGCTTCTAATATATATGAAATGAAAGAGAGGACTGGAGTCATTACCAATTAACACGTGATTCTCACAGAAGATCAGCTCTATTTAAAAAAATAAAAATTTAATATCTAAAATGGCTGATAGATTAAAAGAAAATAAGTGAACAGCATAAAAGACAGAAGGATATTATTGTAAGTGTGTGTGTATTGGGGAGAAGAGAGGTTAAGAGAAAGAGATTTTGAAAATTTGTTTATTTATTTGTTTTGCCATGCTGGGGATGGAACCCAGGACCTTGCACATGCTGGGCAAGTACCATGCCACAGAACTATACCCCTACCCCCTAGGGAGAAAAATGTTAAAGCTGCCAGAGAGAAATTAGAAATCATCTACAAAGGAAGTGTGATTAGATTTCATAAGCTCCCCACAAGCAAAATGGAAATTAGAAACACTGGAATAATCTCTATAAAATACTGAGAAAATATATTTATTAAAATTGAATACCAACCTAAACTATCTTTCACGAATTCTGGGAAATGGTAGCAATGGTGGCAGAGTTTTTGAAGCCCCACATGAAAATCCTGTAGAACGATCATTTCCTCAAATGAAAGACCAGGTACAATATTTACAACAAATCTAGATGACGATATGTTATCATGAACCTCAACGTGTAAGCTGGTAGAACGAACTACCATCAACCACAAGACCTGCATATTATAGGCATTTCTGGGGGACCCAGAAGGAATCCAGAGGCATCTGAAGAATCTGATTATGGGAGAATCCCAAAAAGACAACTAAAAATTATAGTAGGTGAATTTGAGAAGAGCTGAGGTTGCAGGGAGAGTTCTGCTCACTCCTGGTGAGTGAAAAGATTCTTCCAGGAGGTCAGAAGAGAGTGAAGCAGTCTAGGCTCGGTGAGTTCTCAAAAGCGATCAGTCACGGCTTCATTCCAGAGGAATAGTCCATGATAAGGAGAAAATGCTGGAAGAGGGATTCCACTGATCAATAGAGGGAGGAGACAGAGGCTCCAGGTACAGATGGGGGGGGGGGAGATGAGACAGGAAGTTTCAGAAATCAAGCCAATGTGGTTTTGAATTCTAGGTTTAAATAAGAAATGGGAGGGGCTGGGGATGTGGCTCAAGTGGTAGCGTGCTCGCCTGGCATGCGTGCAGCCCGGGTTCGATCCTCAGCACCACATACAAACAAAGATGTTGTGCCCGCCGAAAACTAAAAAAACTAAAAAATTTAAAAACAAAAAGAAATGGGAGCTTTGGGAGTTAGAAGGTTAGAAGATCTATTTGGAATTGTGACTCACTTTAGAAGTTAAGGAACATGAATTGCCTATAAAAATGAACAAAGGAGGGCTGAGACTGTAGCTCAGTGGGAGAGCACTTGCCTTGCATGTGTGAGGCACTGGGTTCATTCCTCAGACCACATAAAAATAAATAAAAGTATTGTGTCGCTCAGCACCACATACAAACAAAGATGTTGTGTCAGGATCCAACATGGCAGCGGGCGTGGAGAGATCAAGTCTCTGACCTCTCCAGCTGTGCGGGCATAGGGAGTCATAAATTGTCTAAATGCTGTTTGCTCAGGACCACTAGGCAATGCTGAGCTGACGTGGATCTGGGGCGAACAGTCTGGGCCCCTCAGAACACACACACCGAGCCCGGATCGGCTGCATTCAAGCTCTGGTTCGCCTGCTTCTCGTGACTCAGCACTAACGATCCCGCTGAAATAACTGGTCGGCCCTTCTGAACTTACAGAGGTAAAAGCCAACCCAGCCTTCATAGGCAGTGGCCACAGGATTGAAACGGGGCTTGGGAGAGACAGTCAGGACCCACCTGTTGCATTGGTCACCCGGCAAAGGGAACGAACAGTCACCATTTGCATGGGATACCACCATGGCAGAGAACTGACTTCACGGGCGGAGGAGATAACTTCATTGAAACCATTACACAGGTGTGTAATCCCCTAGCCATCTCTCTCCACACAGCGGGGAAACCTTAAGGGCCCCTCCCAGCTCTCCTGTGAGCGCGATAGCCAGACTGAGGGAATCAGGAGTGGCGCGGGACTCGCGGCGTGGAACTCCCAGCTACCGCTCCCACCAGTGCTGACAACTGAGGTCTCTTGCACCAGCTACCGGGGGCGTGGCTACCGGAGGGCAAGCAAATTCGCTGGGGGTTCTCAGCCCCAAGCTCTACAAACGTAGGGTCTGAGGGAGGCAAACAGGGAGAGTGTGCCCAGGCGTTCATGAAAACAGGGCTCCCAGGAGCAGCAGACCTGGCGTGTAGCCAGTATTGTGGTGAGCGTCACAGGTGAGCGGGGCCTGGCTTGAGGAAACACAAGAGAAGGCCCTAGGCACTTAGGATTGGAGACCCGCCCAGTCTGGGACGAAGAGCTGCTGCACAGTGAATGGTTCCCACCTATTGAGAGGAGAAGCTTGGCCCAGTGGGCACAGCTCCACCTACTGGAAGAGAAGTTAATCGAACTCTATGACTGCATTTATTATTATTATTATTTTTTCTTTTTCTTTCATTTTCATTTTTTTGTTGGTGTTGTTGTTCTTTAACTTTTTTTAATGTTATAAATTTTTTTTAAATTTTAAAATTTTATTATTATTATTATTATTTTTAAATTTTAATTTTCATTTTTTTATTATTATTTAAAAATTTTTTTTTCTTTCTTTATTTTCTATTTTTTTCTTTTGTCTTTTCATTTCTTTTCAATTTTCTTATTCCCCCTTCCTTGAATTCTACCTGCCTACTCTCATTCTCTTTAGTGACTTCTTCCCTTCCTTTCTAATATCTTTCCTCCCAAGCAACAAATAAATTTATAAGAGTAAACAGTAACTCAGCAGTCAAACAGAACAAGAAGTAACATGAGCAGCATAAAAAAGCAAGGAAGAAAAGGAGTACAAACAATGAAGGACAGCCTAAATATTCAGGAGGATCTAGAGTCATCAGAAAAATGGTCATATAAAGAACTCAAGGAATACCTTAGACAGATGGAATGGAACCTTAAAGAGGATACGAGGCAGCAAATCCAAACAGTGAAAGAACACATTGAAAATGAATTACATAAACAGATAAAAGAAGAAGTTAAGCATCTTTATCAGGAGATAGAGATTATAAAAAAAAAAATCAAACAATAATTCTAGAAATGAAGGAAACAATAAACCAAATTAAAAACTCAATTGAGAGTATCACTAACAGAGTGGAGCAAGTAGAAGCCAGAACGTCAGATAATGAAGACAAAATATATCATCTTGAAAAGAGTCTAGCCAACTCAGAAAGGCTGGTAAAAAATCACGAGGA